AGAATAAGGTTGTATGCTTTATGTTACCCTAGAATCGCTTATTGAGAAGCTAAAAGCTTTTTTCCACGGGATCCAATTAATAACTGTACTAGTGTACGTAATAATAACACATAGATAATTGTAGACTGGTAAATTAATTATCATGAAGTTAAAATAAATGAAATAATTTTGCCAACGTTTATCGTTATGACGAGACAAATACATTGTACACAATAAAACTAAAATAATTAATGTTTTGATATTTTCGATTGATCTAATGCTGACTGGTAAAGAACTCCAGTCTATTGTAGCATTATAGACAAAATGTGTTTGCCAAAATAAATGATATTCATTGTGTGGTAAAACAAAATGAAAATGACCAGACCTCAAATGGTTTTCTGCATACCTTTAACAAGTCCTTCAAATAAGAAGGTATTTCGTTATAGAATTAATGCTTTATAACTGTGGTTATTTCTTAACTGTCCAACTTGATAATTGACACTAATATTCTAAGGTCAGACAAAAAATTTTGTCACAGAAGTCATCGGAGTATATATAGTCTTAAATAAAACACACCATCTTATTTTTAGCTGGAGGGATCGAGAGATTGCTCATACACAAAATCAACACAATATCTCAACGCGTAGAATATTATAACTTAGTTGGACTACTTGAAGTTTGTACTTCTTTCATACCAACAAGATGAAGAATATTCAAAGTGACACAGCAAACAGGCACTTTGGAGTCTTTTATAGAGGAAACTACCCAGCTAACTTTTAAGTGTCCACTCGTGCCTGAATAACGGAGTCCTCGTATGGCATTTACGGGGTGTCCGCATATATATAAACATAGAACTCATGAACAGTTGGAGTGTGGAGCTAAAATGTGTTAAAATTCATATAAATTTGTATATTTATCTATCCCGGCAGATATACATGTACTTGTCATATGCTTCAATAAAACTTTATTAAGCTGCTTTGGAAAAAAACATATTTCAACGTCTTAAATAATACAGGGACATTACTGTAGCACCCACAATTTAAAAGCAATACTGCTAGATTGCATGTATATGCTATAATCGTGGTTGGAGGATAACTGCAAGATATGAAAAATAGCTTTCCCTTTCGTAAAAAGCGTATTGTTTGGTAATATTTGAATATTCAATAACCCTTTTGTCTCCGAATGAATGTTAATCATGGCACAACTGTATACATATAGTTTGTAATCAATAGCATAACACTTGTCTTTCTAGACTCAGTGACATTGTGTTAGAATATACAATGTACTACCAAACTAAAGGTTAAATGTTCGTTAAATAGTAGTTCAGGTGAAGGTGGAAATATATTAAAGACTTAAGCTACAGTCTCACTTACATCCCGGCAGAGCCTCGGCAGAGCCTCGGTAGACGTCCGGGGTGATCCGGGAACGAACTTGACGGAGATTGCCGAGCTGTTACGATTGATGATCCGGGGTATGATATAGACGGTAGAGCTACGGTAGAGCCCCGGTATATGCTGACAGAGCCCCGGTAACTACAGGCAGAGCCCCGGAGGATAAAGGAAGAGCTACGGTTGATCCCGGTAGAGCCCCGGCAAAGCCCGGATCATTTAAAAAAAGTAAGGACAATTTGTGATGATTGCACTTGTTTGAATTAAAAGCCTTCCCATTTCCCTTCTATCCAGTATGGCATAAGGATTTTTCAGAAAATCATCATGAATTACTATTCTGGAACAATAGATATTATATTAAATAAAAATTATGTATCAAAGTTATCATTTTCGGGCGTTTTCAATCCACCGGGGTTCTACCGGGGCTCTGCCTGGATCGTCCTGGGCTCTGCCGGGGCTCTGCCTGGATCGACCGGGGCTCTGCCTGGGTCAACCGGGGCTCTTCCGGCGTCATCCGGGAACGACCGGGGAAGCAACGGCATGAACCGTAGCTTCACCTGGGCTCTGCCTGGATGATCCGGAGCGCATCCTGGGTGGTTAGTAGGAAACTACCGTAGTGCTGCCGGGGCAAGTGTGACCGCATTCGGAACTGCCTCGGCTATTATCATCCGAAGACTGACGGAAAGGGCCGAGTAGTTGCGATTGGTGTGACCGCAACAATAATTTCATCCCGGATCGTCCCGGATCATCCCGGTAACTTACCGGGATGGTCCTGGGCTCTGCCGGGAGTAAGTGAGACCGAGGCTTTATATAGAACCTATAAGTTTTATATTATGAAACATATCTGCTATTCTACTGTATAAGCTTAGAGCGGCGTTTGCAAAATTTCAATTAGGGGAAACCCTCATGAAAGGTAAGCTTTGAACCAAAGAATTTGTCCATTCTGTAAAACTAACATTGAAGAGGAGAAACATTGTATTTTGTATTGTTTAACGTATGGGGATATTAGATAAGATTTATTTGTCAAAGCAGAATCTGTAAACGACCATGTTGTTAGTGTGTCAGGTGAAAGTAAGTTGGCATTCATTTTATCTAGTGTTGAAATGGTAAAGTATGATTCAATGCATCTTTTTGTTTTTCTTAGTTTCTCTTGTGTTTATTTTTTTTATTTTAACACATAACACAATTCTTATAAACTACGTACAAAAGCAAAGTTGTACAAGATGGGGGGGGCAGCTACACAACAAATACAGTACTACCGTATTTTAGTATTAACATACAGCAGATGGTTCGTTATGATATTATTATCTTTTATCATATTTAATGAAGACTATAAATTATAATGTCAACTTACACTGTTTTGCGATAACGTCAATCAGTAAATCAGTAACACATGCCACAACTACGCATTTTATAAATGGAAAAATAGAAAATGCCGCAAAATAACAATATTTCTTCAAAATTCTGTGTAAGGCCATGTTTTAATAAAAAAAAACTCGATTTTGCTTAATTCCAAGCCTTTTCGTCATTTTCAGTTAATCCTTTACCTCATACATGCGAAACGTCGCACTTTTAACCCCACCCTTTGAGGCCTCAAATAGTGAAAAATGTCCTATTTAGGCCCAATACACTTGTTTTTGTTTGAGAAGTGTTGTTAAAAAAGTGACCACTTTTATCGGCGCCGCCCCTATCAGAAGGAGACACCAGGGAGTGGCAGAGGGTGTTTAAAGGGGGTAAAAGCAATGCCCTTCTGACTGTTATTTCAGCAAGGGATTCAGTAAAAATTCAACGTCCAGCTGATTGTACGGCCTAATCTCCTGCCAGCAATTTAATGTCCTGTCAAATGTCGTGCTGAATGTCGTGCAAGCAGGTTATTTGGTAAAGTTTAAATGTCCTGCTGTATGTCCTGCAGAATATCGTGCCACTGATTCGGTAATATTTCAATGTCCTGTCGAATGTCTGATGTCGAACTCCGTGCTAAATTCACACACTCTACATGTATAAGATCCGTGATATGTCCAGTCGTCGCTCGTGAAACTACAGACATAATTTATACATTACTGTGTAGCATCCTTATGACTTAAAGAAATGTTCAAGTGAATGCCTTCTATAAAATCCAAAATACAATAATAATAATAATAATAATAATAATATTAATAATAATTATAGTAATAATTAAATCTTTATTAAATTTTAAAGAAGTTTAAAGAACATAAACAACTGTTCAAGACTAAATGTTTAAAGTACAAGGCTGAATGCTTAAAGTACAAGACTGAATGTTTAAAGTACAGCTTGTTAACATATGCTGCTCAAAATATGATAAACAAGATATAAATGGAAAGGCTGAATATTCAATGAATATATTAATTTACTTACCAAGACAAAGAACGCACTTTCCACGTGTATTGTTGATTAAATAAAGAGGCCAAACTGCGTTTGTCATTTTAGAGATGATAACAAAGGAATATAACGCCGACTCTATTGGAATGACGGAAATGCGATTTGTTTCGAGTTATTATTCATCAAAATAATTATATTAATAATAATGAAATATAAAAATGTCGAAAACAGACATTAACTGGCATTACTTCACTTTTCAGAAAAACAAATTAACAAGAAAAGCATTGATGCAAAGCATCAAAGGGCGTCAAAGCAAGAAATGCAGCAAGTGAAGATGAACTAGTAGACATATGATGACCAGATATTGTTATAAACTTTTCAATAGTTATTTGGTTTTCACCATTGTATTTCATTTCCTGCAAAATTCTCCAGCTCGTTATTTATTACCATAGCGTGACACGAATGACCGTTTCGTTAAACTAAAACTACTTCTATAAATATATTTTCGGACTTTCACAATGTTAGAGCCATCATTCTATTTATAGGTCATAATACATAATAACTCACTGTGTTCTAATAAAAGAAACGAAGATTAATTGACGGATAAGATAACTTCATTTAAATATGTTTGCATTGCAAAATTCTCCAGTTCGCTATTCATTGTACATATCGCGACATTTCATTTTTGATATTCAATCATCCTCATACCAAGCGGAATGATCGGCTATTATGACCGACGAAAAGGTCCGAGAAGTTGCAATTGCCCTTTCACAAAATCTGATTGCATTCCATAAGGACTTCGCGCTTCGGCACGGACGCCAACAATTGGCGCCCTTTTGTCTACAAAGAAGTAAAAATGAAAATTTTGGAAAGACCAACTTACGAAGTAGAGAGGGGAAAGGGAGTCATTAAATAGATAAATGTTTTTTTTTACAAAATCTCACGTAAAAATGGTGTTCTATCAGGATTGCAATAGAAAAAAGTAGAATTAAGTGACTGATACAGATATCTTATTTGCTTCTTATTTTTCAGCAAGCACCGTAAACTTGCATAAAGTAAAACTCCAGTATCGATATTTCAATTAAGAAGTCTTTTACAACAATGACAGTACTCGCATTTAGTACTATTCTTATTTTACAAGATAAAAGTAATGAGTTGGTTAAACACTACATGTATTTGATCAGATGGTGTATTATCCCGATATTGATTCCTTTATAAATATTGTTTATGGTATGTTTTGAATAGACAAATGTTTCAAATCTGTGCTTCATTATAATATCAGCCGGAAATGATGAATAAATTGAACTTTTATAACACAATAGACAGTGAATTTGTTTTCGACAAACAGGTGGTGCGTCAAGGCCAACTTGTGTTCGACAAACAACTGGATATGTCTCTATAAATATGCAACCATTTGCCTTGTACTTCATCATTGTGATTTGCTTCATGACGAGGTAAGATTTGTATTTTATTTTTCTATAAAAAAATTTTTTTAGATAAATTATTTTCTTGTTGTTAGCTCGACTGACCATGCGACCAGTGCAGAACAAGATCATCCTGCACGGTTGTCGTCAGATCATCTGGTCTGTATTGCTCGCTATTCAGTCAATGTTGATTTTGAAGAAAAACATTAAAATAATTAATGGTTGTGTCCAGCTTGAAAAATAGACAACCGTTCAAGATATTTAGCGTGAAAAATGTTAATGTTATGATTCCTACTACTTTTAAAATAATTTTTAAAAATCAAGTACATTGATAATGTTTTCACGAGAGTATTCAAGACTGGGAATCAAAACTGCGTCGTATCCTACAAAATGTAGACAAACGCCGCCATCTTGAAACGAAAAAAGGTATGTTTTCGTTTATAACTCTTTTTGTTGGAAATGACTGAAAACCAGATATATGTATTAACCCGCTCCACTATTTTCCGGTTTGTTCGGTATATGTTGCTTGAACAACTATTTTGTAAAACAAAAGTTATAGCGAAATTGCAACTCGAAGCGGGCCAGAATTCATATTGCTTTATCTATCTTTTTTTCCTTTATATCAATCATATACTCGTTTAAGAGTTCACCATAAACTTCAAAATATTATTTTGCATCATTAACTAAAATTTCATTAAAAAGAAATGTTTATTTTCCGAGAAAATAATGATTTGTACGAAATGATACGACGCTGTTGAAAATAAAATATGATACGACGCAGTTATATTTTTTTGGAAGTCTTTTCAACAAAGATAATTTTAGCAATATATGTCTATCGATGTGCTAGATAAAAAAGGCAGATTATTCGCGGTTTGTTGCTTTTGATTATTTAGAATACATTGTGGGATGTCCAATATAACATTTAATTTGAATTTTTAAATTGCGGAAGCTACTTTTAACCATGAACATGTTACTTACTTTATCATAAAATCTGAAATAATTGTTTATTTTCTTGTATGTTCAACACAGTTTTATAAAAAATCTGCTCCGCTTCGAGTTGCAAGTTCGCTACAACTTTTGATTTACAAAATATTTTTACAAGCAACATATACCGAACGAACCGGAAAATAGTGGAGCGTGTTAATACATATATCTGGTTTTCAGTCATTTCCAACAAAAAGAGTTATAAACAAAAACATACCTTTTTCGTTCCAAGATGGCGGTGTTTGTTTACAATTTGTAGGATACGACGCAGTTTTGATTCCCAGCCCTGATTTCACCGGAAGAAAATAATTGTGATTGATTCAGAGGGATATCATTTGGATTTGTTAGTCATACATGTACATCTTTTAAGAAGTAAATAAGTGTTGACAGATGTGTAAACATTCAAAAAGCGGCTAGGAAATTGGAAAACATGGAAGTTTTGAAAGGCTGCTTTACGCCGTTACGTATTGGCTTGTTTACTTATTCTTCGGGCTGATGTCTGTCATTGCTTTTCAAGTTATTAGGCAGTTATTGCTCGTAGGATACTTAAAAATGCCCAAATGTCACCAAGAGCAGTTTTGCATGTGGAAGGAATTGTAACTTTTAAACTGTATAAATGAAACAAAAATTTAGAGACGATATTTGGTGATTGGTAATTTGATTGAATTGAAGTAAGATTTCTTCTTTCTATTGCTTTTGAATGTTCAGTTATTTATCAATTTCAGTTTTGGCTTTTCTCTTAAGAGCACTAACAATGTCAGAATTGTCAACAATAATAAAACTGAGGTACCGCATGGGGAAAATCTTAAAAAAGTAATGTCATCATTGAAAAGTGTGAAATTATAGTTTGATAATTTTCGCTGGGAAATTATCAAATACAATTTTCACGGATAAATCAGTAATCAGTCTTAATTCCTTTCAGGGCCCTTATCTTTTGGCGATTTAATTACTGTAGAGACTAGAGAACAATGGGAAAGTGTACGATTACGTTCATGGTAAGGAAATTTAGATACTTTATGTTTTCCACTTATTTTACTTTGCTTTTATCTTAATTACATTTTATTTCTTTCTTTTCCTGAAAATACGAAAATGCATATTCTTAAATTATACAGGTTTAAGTTTGTGGGATCACTAAAGGTTACTTAAACGTGGATAAATGATTATTTTCCAGCTGTTTGTATTGTTAATTGTGTTTATGAAAGCATCCGAATCGAAGCCGACGTTAAAACAAAACATATTAAATAGGACAAGAGGTTTAGCGAAAGGGATTGGAAACGGAAACGGCAGATGTAATGACCACGATCAGGTAAATTAATTTTAATCACCTTATAATGTTGTTTCCGCCTTAATAACATGGCCGTTTTGGCTTCCAACAAAAGTATGAAGGTTATGTTTGGACTACACGTATATCAAGTTTACATTAATTTGGGATGAATGCACAGATTGTAATATGTACTGAGCAACCTCCTTTAAAATGTACCCCCGATATTTCAAGAAGATAACTCTGCAATTATATTAATTTAGATGCACCTGATAAATGCCTTAAATCAACACTTACTTTGCCATTTTGTTTGCAAATTTCACTAAAACTATAAAACAATGTTTTGTATATTTATTCTTTCAAATATTAAATTATTTTAAAATCCTTATGTATACTTTTATATACTCTAGTGTCCTGATGGCTATGCATGCTTATTGGCAGAGGGGAAAAAAGTAAAGAAATGCCTTCAGTGTGAGTAAAGATGTTACATACTTAAATATACGTTAAAAGCATTAGCATTGCATTACAGCTTTATTACAATTATGTCAGTTTCTGTGCATAATTGTGCAATATCATTTGTTTTCTTGCACATATTATTTAATTATAAATTACTATAGAATCGTATAATATCTCCACTATCACTCCGCATTGTTCCTATTATTGTACCGAAAAATAGCTTACTACTGAAACATGGAATACTTAAACAGTCAAAAGAACATTTTCGTTCCAGTAAACTGCCCGCTTAAGGATTACGGACCTAAATGGTCACCAAAAGAAATCAGCGTACCAATACTTTTTTACTATATACATGTAGTGTAAGACAATCAATATTCAAATATAAGCAAATTTAATCATAACAATCCATTTTTATTTTGTATTCATTCTTTTTAGTGTCGAGACATAGGGCAATAACAATGGTCAAATGAAAGTATTGTAAAATTGTTGTCAAAGTGTTTTGAATGTACATGCCCGAGAGCCTAATTAACCTTAAATATTTTTCATTACCACCCTATTTATTAAAAGAATGAATGAATATTATTTTAGGTAACTGTTCGGAGACAAGCCAATGTTATCTTGAAAGGGAAACGACGTTCTGCAATTGTTCAGGAACTGGGTTCACGGGACAATATTGTGAAACATGTGAATGATGTGATATAATTTGCTTCGAATTTAAATTTCTTTTAAAAGAAAAAAAACTTCAGCCATTCAATTTGCTTTAGCCTTTGTTTTTCAATAACAACATTCTTATGTATTGATTGTATATTTTACTGACATGGTAACTTATTGTTAAGATATTATTCATTTTTCAACCGAGAAATATTTTTAAAATGACTTACAAATAATTGTGCTGCATCTTCCTACATTTTAGTGCTACCGCCATGTCCAATGGGATGGTATCAAAACAGAAACAGCTGTTACATCTATGACTGCACGGCGAATGATTGGCTGTCCGCTGTTGTAACACGACAATCTTCTTTTTTTAAATATTCTTAAATTAAATATACCGCTAATACCTCGATGAAATTTATAAAATTTTCAAAAAATAAAGTTCTGTAAAGAACTAACAAGGTTTTGGCTTTTTGCCGATTAAATTTTTAAACATTAATAACAGTATTTTAACAAAACGTTGAGAATCCATCATCTGAAAATCATAAGAGTAATTTGAAGTCGCCATATACTCAAGAAAACGAATAATACTTCTTACTGTCGCTGTTTCGATAGTACACATAGAGTCATGTATTACTTTTTTGAAAATAGAGATAAATAAGTCATCATAATTTCCACCATTTATTTTTTATTTCTAGTGTTATTCGAATAATATTTTCATTATCTCAACAGTCGCACTGCCAGTCCCTTAGTCCGAGCGGATATCCGAACTCACATATTGTTGAGATAACAGATGAAGAGGAAAGCCAAGTTGCATTTGCCATTTCAATTACAGGATTCAGGTAATTCAAACCATCTTGTATACTTGCAGTTTTATATATAAATTTATATCTTTTCCCTATTCAGATTTGCAAAAACTTGTTCTACAAAACGTTTGATAAATTTTAATATCACAATTATAAAACGGAACAACCAACAAAATAGACCTAGAGCGGGGTTAATATATAAACGTAATGTCCTGGCTCCACTGACCAGCACTGCTAGTTACAGTAAAAAGTGAAGGTCTAGCTTAAAGTCAATATGCATCGAAATATTACTACTGTTCGAATAAATGTTTGTATGCATGTTGCTCTATAAGAAACAATTTTCTGTAGCTTTATCCATTTAATGTACACGTGACCCTTAACCTTTGCATAATGGATTTGCACATCTTTCAACTTGTGGTTTAAGGGAATTTAGTTTCAAATACAAAGGAAAAATGACCTGCTCAGAGTACAGAGCTAGTGGCAGACTTAAAAGATGTGCACTATTTATTAATACTTGTTGCAAAACAAGCGGAAAGCTAATTACCTTTAGTAATATAGCCAGTTAGGGAAAAGTTGTATCCCTTATCTTGATTGATTAATGACGTTTGAATATAACAACCACTTCAACCGTACTTACACATTGTATCAATATATACAAGCTTTATAACAGCACTTTATCAGCATTCAGTTAATTTCATTTCAAAGCATTTTCTATTTGTTATACTAATAAAAAGGCTATGAATAATCAAAATTTGTTTTTATTTAATTTGACAGACGCTTGGATTGGTTTATCAGATACGGAGACGGAAGGCATTTTTAAATGGATAAATTCCGGGAACAATTTAACATATCAACCTGACTACTATATAATATACAATGCGTATTACTATAACTATTACAATTACCAGTTCTTTGACTTTTACTATGAGTATTACTTGCAACCTTATGACTGTGTCCATCTGCATATTGATCACTGGGACGCAGAGAGGTGTTCAAAGTACAAGCCTGTAGTGTGCGAGATGCCAGCTTTAATACAGGTAAGTTTATATATGAATATATTACAATTTATCCCCGATTTGAATGACACACTCGGCATTATCAATAAAGAAACCCCCTACACTGGCCCATACACATATAAAGAACGAATATTATATAGATATACAATCATACATGTAAGTATTGCAAAATGAGAGCCTTTATAATAGAAATAATGCAGAGTTTCATTTTATAATACATGTATAAAATGTATTTATTAACCAACTATTAACAAAAACTGATCTCGATCTCTATAGATAATCCTGAAAGAATTTTGTATGTTGATAACAATTCAAAATATATTAGAAATTGTTAAGATATGTAATAGTTATATTTCATATACTATAACTGTTTTATCGCAATGGCATAATGTTTTCTTTTTTGTATAGAAACAAATAAATAAATCAATTTTAGCTACATTACAGTTATTTATCATAAGGCAGTTTTTCAAGTTGTTTTCGCCGCCGCAAAAAAATATACAAAAGACATCCAATGTAAGAGGCGGATTGTATACTGTTACCAAGATTGATTTAAGATTAATGGCTTTTTTCATTTCATTAATTATCTTTGTTTATATTTTTCATTGTATTTATATATTTATTTTATTTTATTTTATTGATTTCATTTTTTTAATTATTTTATGGGTTTTTGCTACTGGGAATGGTCGTTACCAATGCCCCATTGGAGCCTCTATGAAAAAACTGTATTGATATATACAAGGTGCGAAAAAAACTCGACCGATATATAACAGTTGAGTTTTTTTCCTATATGAATCAATGAAAAAACTGTACTGTTATATATCAATACAGTTTTGAAATGCTCATTGAAGTGTACTGAGTATAATGGGTTAGAAAGAACAAAGGAAAAGCTCACAGCCATGCGATAATGTATGTTATAAGCAGAACAGTTTTAATCGTTGAAACCAAAATTGCGATAAATATATCAAAGAATTACTATACAACTGTTCTATTGCAGTAAAATGGAGAGAAGATGGGACGCAGTCTATGGACATGACATTTTGTTTTATTTAGGTCGTTATAATGAGTACTGTTAACTGGTTAATCAATGAATAATGATATTGTTGATAAGTGGGATTTTGTTTTTCTTTTGTTCTTTCAAGTTGTAGCTTAAACTGTTCAGTTATTGAGAGACAATATTGCTTGTCAATTTTTTCAAGTTGTAGCTAAAACTGTTCAGTTAATGAGAGACAATATTGCTTGTCAATTTTTTCAAGTTGTAGCTTAAACTGTTCAGTTAATGAGAGACAATATTGCTTGTCAATTTTTTCAAGTTGTAGCTAAAACTGTTCAGTTAATGAGAGACAATATTGTGTTTGTTGCATTTGATGTGCATTATGTATTTTGTTCTTTAATTCGTTATTATACATTTTCTTTATACTTTAAATTGATTAGTCAATGAATAATGATATTATATTTAAGACAATGTTAGTGTAAATAGAGGTAGTTATTGAAATTTGTTTTGTCATCTTATATCATGTGGGTTATAATAATAAAATTGATGGGACAACAAATTGCGTTGGTTTTATAACTGGTATAATTATGTTGTTACTTCGGTCTAATGTGTTAGACACTGTACAGTTTTATTAACTCAGCTCCGTTAATGTTTCTTATAGCTGTAAATTTGGCAAAGAAACATAAACAAAAAGTGAGCCGTGTCACGACAAAACCAACATAATGGGTTTGCGACCATCATGGATCCAGACCAGCCTGCGCATCCGCGCAGTCTGATCAGGATCCATGCCTTTCGCTTTCAAACCCTATAAGAAGTAGAGAAACTGATAGAGAACAGCATGGATCCTGATCAGACTGCGCGGATGCGCAGGCTGGTCAGGATCCATGCTGGTCGCAAACGCACTATGTTGGTTTTGTCGTGATGCGGCTCAGATTATGATTCCCTGGTGGTTCATTTCACAAGCAATATAAATAGATGTGTATGATATAGTAATCTTACACCATTAGACTGATGGTGGTACCAGGCTTAATCAAAGCGACCAGTGCCAACCACATCAGCCGGTGTAACGAAATAAAGTGACCGCATAAAATTTTGATCTCCGATCTATATTTTTTAATGAAAATAATCTCCTGGTCAAAGTATTATGATCTCCCCACACGGGAAGAAAATGACCTTCGCAAAAGAATTGTGATCTCCATCACCTTAAATAATGACACTCTGTCGCTTGTTGTCATGTTCTTAAAAAATATGACCCCTTTCATAATATAAGAGAAGTTTATGACGGTTTTTAATAAGAAATGAAGAAAGTGAAACTTGGTTTGTATAGCGTTTGATTAATTTATTAGAGAAGCAAGCCTAGGAAACATATACTTCTTAGTTATACTTTTTATAGTTAAAAGTTAATAATAAAGTGATGAATTTAGAGTAAAATGATTTATACTGGGCATAAGGACTGCTATGTGTCATTCTGTATCCAATTGAGCGTTGGGCGAGCTGTTTTAGTGTCTGTCTCTCAACCCTGGGATCATGGGTTCGAACCTTACTGGAGGTCTTATAGGTATGCAATTACAGGTTAGTTCCAAGAAATTAACTCTGAACATATTCATCCTTGTAACAGCTTCAAGTTTTCAACATGATCGAGAGAAGATTTATGTGTTTTACCTCAGTCAGTATTTTATAATTTTTGGACGAATTCCCACGAATACTTTCAGGTTGGAGAGAAGGTAGTGACACATTGAGTCTTAAATCTAAGCAGCATTTAAAAAAAGGGGGGAATCATTTAAAATAAAGCTTTAAAATAATAACTGGGGGAGAATATTTTACAAGTTACAGTTAACTGGTATTTATTTTCAGCAATATTTAATATGTATTCATAGAAAAGGGGTCACCTTTTTGTGTGGAATAATGACTAGGTGTCAGTATTCTTTCTCTATACACCAAACACGATTTTGGATAAACGGACAGACAGACAAAGCGATAAAGTTAAGCACACCCCAAGGACGTAATAACAAATGTTTTTTAATAGTTCCATAGTGTTTAAGTTTCTGCTTGATGTGATTAGGTCAACATTTTGTGCTATATACTACTCTCACAATGTTTTACTGGAAATGGATCATTTTTAGTATAGAATTATGACCGGTGAACCATTATTTAAAAATGACATTATTTCCTTTTAAAATATATACTCCACGGGCAGTATATTAATTATGAGCCATAAAATCGAAGTAAAGGAGTCCGCTCTTGGAAATGTAACCATCTCCTAAAAAGTAATCTGAGTATGATTAAAGCATGAACTTGCAAAAGCAAAACATCTCTATCAACGTTAACTTACAAAACTTATATTTCACCAATTACTGATTACTTTTCAAATTAATTGGGAACATGTAGCATATACACAGTTGTCTTTTCTGGAATCTTTAAACTTTCAAAATAACAATTGAGAAATGTACTCATCAAATTATGATATAGATAAAGAGTAAACAATTCTCAGTTTGATTTCAAAACAACGCGGGACACTTATTCTGATATTTTTAAAAGTGAATGCAGTCGAACAAAATAACAGTAAATTTTAAATGAAATTTGGCAGCTGCAAAAAGTTGCCACGTACTTAATATCAATGTTGGTATATATTTCCAGTCTTTCAGGATAATGTATGTAAATACCTTTGAATACCAATTAAACCGGTGCAATGGGGCGTGAGTGATGTTGCAACTTTTTAGTTTTGCTCATGAACAGACTCCATCAATATACTACAGGTTTCTGAAGTTTTCTTCAGAGTGAGTCACTATTTTGTAAAGAGGGTATTTTCTCTATTAGGAGAAGAAAAAGCACCATAAAATATACATATTACATAACAACCCTTTGACACTTCTATAAACACTACACTTTAAATTTTACATTTATTAGGGCGACAACTCCATTTCTCTTTATCATAGAAGTCTATTGTCTAAAGCCTCCCTTTTTATAACGCGTATAGCAGATATACTGGTCATATGTATCAATAAAACTTTATTAAGCTGTTTTGAAAAAAAACATATTTCAACGTCCTTAATAATACAGGGACATTACTCTAGCACCCACAATATATAAGCAATACTGTTAGATTATATGCTATAAACTTGGTTGGAGGATAATTCCCAGCTAGCAAGATATGAAAAAAAGCCTGTTAAAAAGCGTATTGTTCGGAAATATTTGTATATTCAATAACCCTTTTGTCTCGGAATGAATGTTAATCTTGCGCAATCTAAAGTATGGCACAACTGTATACATATAATTTGTAATTAATAGCATAACACTTGTCCTTCTAGACTCAGTGACATAGTGTTAGAATATACTTCCAAACCAAAGGTTAAAGGTTCG